GGAAGGGGAAAAACAAGAACAGAAAAAAATCTGGACCTCACCAAAGGAAAGGTCTTATGGAGATGTTTTACAAAGCCAGACTGACCTGCTCTAGAACCTGCTTATCCCAAGAAAAGAACCAAGGAACATTATGTAGTTTTTCCACATACCTCAGCTTCAATGTAAGGAAATTCAGATACAAGACGTTTTCCAACAATAGGCCATCTCTTTCCTGTAACTTGGGCTATTTTGGCCACCTCAAAAGCCTTGTCACCGTATGTCGAAGCTAGATGCTGAGCCACCTATGGAGTTGAAAACAGCACATCAAATAGACTCACGTTTTTCTTGTCAATTCTCTTATCACCAGTAACAAATAGGCTGAAGAGGGCATTAGATTTGGATTGTGTGGGAGGAAACTACTTGCGTTGTGAATGGGTTAGACCAGCACTGACACCACTATGTATGTATCAATGTAACTGTAACTAATGATGCTCCAATCTTCTGCGACACTGTGATCACATCTGAGATATAGATTTTGTTGGGCTCAAAGACGACAGATCCTAGCATGTCATAACATTTTAAAGCAGGAAACAGTCAAGATAAGGAGGAAGGGAAAAGGGAAGAAAAGAAGAACAATTACTAGAATTTATTTTTGTTAAAACTATCTTTGCCCTGGCCAGATAATAAGCTTTTATCAGGCTCAAACAGACCTCTGTACAAGTTATGCTGGTATTAGATTTAATGGGAAAACAAAACCCTCCAACACAGAAACATCAGAGCATCAACAGAAACCATGACTCACCTCACTTTCAAGTCCATAGTCTTGGACCAACCTAATGTAGAGAGTGGGACTCCAGTCCTCAGCCCCTTGTAGCTGCAGTCCAATGGTCTTACTGGAACCTGCCTTCAGATCATGCGCCTGAATAGCTGCATCAATGGTGTCCTGCGCCATGGCACGGTAGGTTGTCCACTTCCCACCTGTAACCACACATTTACTTCTTTATTTGGGGAATATGAAGTTGGTATGTACTATATATATTTTATATATCACATTATTCTTACTAGACTTGCTCCAACAAGCCAGTCACACTAGCACTGACAGATCAGTATCTACTTACAGAAATGTGAAGGACTATCCTGTAACAGAAAAAAGTGTTTAATAAAATACATTGGGGAAGCCCAACAAAGCTATACTTGAAGAGAGTTTCCAGTACCTGCTATCGTGACAAGACCACTATCGCTAATGGTAACGACATGATTCCGGGATATCGACTGCGTGTCTTTGGAGTGGGGGTCTGTGACCAGAGGACGAATGCCACTCCACGCTGCCAGCACGTCTCCTCTTCTCACTGTCCAGAACCAAAGATCAGCCAAAGTCAGCCAAGAACGGATGGGTATTTAACTCATACCCTTCCCATGGTCTTTGTGTCATTGCCTCCGAGTAGATACTTGCTATGAAACAAGGACTGCACCACACCATGCTTGTAAGTTGAGCAACTCAAAAAGCTGGAGAAGATTCTCCAAAGCAATGGAATAAGCTGGGCTGCAGAATTAAAAACAGCACTCCCCTGATTAGTATCAGTAATATTCTCTAGCCCAAAACAAAGTCAGAGACAGAGAGGTCCATTATTTCAAACTGGTTAGAAATCCAACAGAACAGAGATATCCTGGGAACTGATCAACCAAGAGAGATTCAACTGTCAAACTCGTCAATCAGCTCAAAAAAACCCCAAACCCAAAAAACAAACCCTAGCAAAACCAAACACACACCCCCCCCAGCACTAAGTCTTCTCCTTGTTTGCTTGTGCTGACAGGACAGTCCTTACATTACATTTTAGAAACCAAAATAAAGTTTGTTCCACATGAGCGTTAACGTTTGCTTTTAGGACTTCAAAGCTTTTTCTCTAGCTTGTAGGTTATTTTTCCAAGTGTTACTCTTGAGAAGTCATCTTTATCCACAGCCTTTATCAGAAGTGCAGTTACACATATACACAAGGAGAAAATTCATTGGCAGGGTTACGGTCAGCTGTAGCACATCGCCAAAGCTTGTACCCACGCCAGCGTTTGCTACTGCACAGCAACCCAAAAGGGCCTGGCTGACTTGTCAAAAACCACCCAACAGAAGTCCACGTCTCTTACGCAACTGCCGCTTCCAGCCCTGCCTTCTCTTCCTCCTCCTCATCACTGCTTCGGAAACACTGTCCCACTCCACAAGAAGCCTGACTAAATGGCCATTTACAGTTTTTCCGCCCCCCGTGCTACTCCTCTGCTTCCTGTCCAATTACAAGCATATCCCTAAAGCCAATCCTGACTTCTCAGTAAACTTGGAGGAAGAAAACCTGAAGGCATCAAGTAGTCACAAAAGCCCTTAACATTCGTAGGAAAATACCCTAGCCTCCAAAAGTCACTTTTTTTAATATATAAAACATGGGACCAATAGAGAATTTAATTAAATTAGTTTTGTTGCTTATTAAATTTGCAATAGAAAAATTGACTGATTTGCTTTATGCTGATGTCTTTGGAACATTTTTTTTTATACAACTTTCAAATAAATGATAATTGAAAATCAGTAACGGGGTGTAAAAAATATCCCCAAAGAACACAAAATAGATTTCAGAAATCAATGGTGCTCTGCCAGCATGTTTAACCTGCCAAACTGAAGTGTTAATCACAGAAATAAGATACCATATTACGTTTATAAACTAATGAAACTAGAAAAAGCAGCATGCGTGACACTATAATTAAACAGTTGGAACACATCCAAGCCTGTGTAAGTTGATAACCCTGGCACTGTCTCTGGCAGCAAAAAGGCAGGTCTGCAGTGAGTTGATATGGCCAGCATAGTTGTTAATTCAATAACAAGCAATCTATAAACACTGCTAATTGCATATGTGAAAAACAGCGTGCACCTAGGTAGGTTTCATTCAAAAGAATTAAACACTTCATAATGTACTTCTGTAAAATACCTTGCAAAATCTGTCTTATTCACAGTCTTAACGCTACCAGCTACCTGTCTGGCCTACCACGCTTATTTATACTGACTTCTGCTCAAGAAACTTAAAGGTACATTTCCTGAAGACTTTTTCTGAACTTTATACAATACAGAGCCATCAATTATCCACTTCAGGAAACAAGTAATCTAGCATTTCCATTCTCCGGACAGCAAGTTTTCCTAAATCTAAGGATGTTGCAATGTTCCTGACCGAGTGCTTTTCAGATTTATTTTAATGCTGCTACTACAACAGAAATACAGAAGTACAAATGCTTTCACAGAATAATTTTTAAAAAAACTCACCAAGCCTCTCTCCTTTAAACCAGTACTGAATCAAAGCAGGCCAGCATCTTACAACAAATGCGTTCTCAGCTCAGCTACTGAAGGGAACAACTGTCACCAAGTAATTTTTATAAATTCCCCTTTTTGCCCATCACACTTTCCTCTCCCACTGAAAACTGACACTATTAGATATTTACCATATCAAGAAAAGTAAATTCTAAGAATTTAGAAAAGTGCCTAGAAAAATGGAAATAAAAACAAAGACACAGGAAAAGAAAGAACAACTCTTCCTTCAAGCAAAGCAGGTGAGTTATTTGATATATTTGCGTTAGATGTACAACTGAACTGTCCCAGTTCTGCAAAACCTTGCATCTGCCACCCAAAGAGACCAGAATGACTTGGCTGTGGAGCTGGACAGTCAGTGCCAATTAGGTGAAAGGTATGTGAAATCTGAACATGCAGGTATCAACCGATTTCCATTTCAATAGTCCAAGTAGTGCAGGTATTATCTGGAAAAGCGTAATTTTTTAGCTCCGATGCATAGATCACAATGACACTTATGTCCCACTAGTTTTAGAAACGCGCAGATGCACAAGAACTATAGTTATCACAGAAGAACTTTAGACAGACAGCATTTACTCAAACTGCCACAGACATACCAGTACCTTCCTAGGGAAAAACAGAGCTGACAAAGGTTTACCTTCAACATCAGCACTAAGGTAGTTGCGCACTTCATTCAAAATGAAGTTTATATCTTCTTCCGTTGGTATCGGATGGGAAGTAACGTCAGTCGGGCTGTCTGTGGTCCCTGCAATAGTCATCTTCTCCCATGGCAGGAAGAAAATCACTCTACCATCGCTGGTGGCTGGGTCAAGCAGACCCATATTACCAGGGCTGAAATAAAGAAGGGACATGGTTCAAAACAGGTCAGGCATCACCAGCGATTCTGTTCTTGCACATCTTGCACCCCAGATAAAGTATTAGAACATTACCTTTGTTCTTAGGTCAAATGATCAAAAAAAAAAAAAAATCAGAGATTTCAACATGTGGCCATGACCCGACTTTGAAAGGTAGTCCCAGAAGTTTTGAGAAATAAGGCCCTTGAATGTGATGCGCAGATATTACTAGAATTTGATTTCCTAAGCAAGTTAGCAGACCACAAACTTAAATCAAGCAATCAGGCCTTTGGCATCTCACATCTCCATTCACTCTTGAAAATCTTGCCCATTGGAATTTCAAATACAAACATTTGGAAGTTTTAAAACAGGAATTACTTGAAACTCACGATGGAATTAACAGCTGCTTTTAAACAAAAAACGGACAATAATTTATATTATGCCATAAAGGAAAGGGAAGGCTGAAACAGAATGCACATTAAAATGGAAGAAATAAGAACAGAACCCTAGTTCCGTTTTGATGCGTCTAAGAATAATATTTAATGTTTAATTTTTCTTGTTATATAAACCCAAGTTATCAATTATTTGCACGCTAAACAGAGAGCAAAAGTAAAGACACACAAAATCTCAATGACTTTTATAACCTGCACTCACAGGAGGGGGAGAGGGTTAGCAGCAGAAAAAACAAGAGAACAGCAACATTGAAATCGTAAGTATTATGAGTACATTTAAACAGTAAACATCCAACGATACTGCAGCCTGAGTTTGCTGACCACCTGCCACTTGAACAGGAACAAACGCCCACAAACTCCCAAAGGATTCAGACCAAGAAGTATATTCCGAATGCTCCCAGCTCTCACTACAGCATTGCTGAACGGGGAACCGTATTTTGAGGAAAAAAAGGCAAAAGCTATCACCTCCGTAATGACTAACAGACACTAATTGGATGCTAGTATTCAGAGATTTTTTATTTATTTATGCCAGTCCTACAAACAGAGCGATTCAGTAAAATGAAGAAAAACAGTAGTTCTTCGTACAGGAGATTTTAACTTATGTATAAATATTTCCTCGTACAACGTGGGGAAAAAAACCACCATGTACAAAACCAGTTATCCTTATCATTTAGGAAATAGCTCTGCTTATATTTCAGAAAATAAAAGGCTTCTATAAACACTTCAAAGTAAACAGCTTTTATATAGGAAAACATTTAAGCTGCCCCTTTTTTTCATTCATTTTTACTTAAATGAAAGATGCTGACTTTCATTTCAGGTGCTGGAAGTCCTTGTAAAAACATCTGCAGTCAGTTTAGCAGTCTTCAGGTTTTCCACCTATTCCTGATAACGGAAGGAGGATATAGGAAATATATGGAAGGAGGATAGGAGGTATATATTCAGGGGGTAATAAGGACCATCAGAGGGGAATAATTCAATGGACTGAAATAACTACTAACACAATAAGTTGAAGGTAGACAAAGACCTGCTTGGATATGAATTACCTATTTAAGAGAGCTGCAAGCTGAATCACTGAATATTTCATTTTTAGGAAGTCTAAACTGATTACTGAAGGTAAGTTTTCAATATCTGGAATGGCTAGAAGAGAAGCTGAAAGTTTTCATATAGAGCATGTATATTAGAACATTTTTTAGATGATATTTATAGACATCTTAAGCATACAGTTGGAGAAGTACAATTTAATAGGGGAAGTCAACACAGATTTGTGAAAGGTAAATCACGTCAGACAAATGATTACTTTTTAAAATGAAAAAGCTATTGATTTAGAGACAGGGGAAACTAGAGATTTAATATACGGTATCAGAATATTCAGAAAACTTCAGACTTTCAAAAGTATGAATTTTTTTTTAGAATGTGATTTTGTAAAAACTGTTAAAAATAAGGAAGAGAAACAAGTAAAGACTTAAAACTAAATTTCACCACACCACCTATGGACTGAAGTGTTTTCAATTAGATTACACAGCAAATGATGAGAAAGGATGAAACAGTTTTCCATACGGAATTAATTTACTGAATTAATGACTACCAGCTATCCTGGGAAGCTTTCTCTCAATCTCCTATTGCTATGTTTGTTCCATCTTATATAAATAACTGAAAAGCCATCAAAACAAATTTAAAATAAGGTGTTTCCCATCAAAAACAAGCATCCTAACGCCCAAATATTGGCTGTTCTGGGACTCCAGTGGCATTTGACCAAAGCACCACAAATGCAGTTAAAGAGCAAATAGGTGACTTTCCACAGAGTGGAATTAAGATTTAACAGACAAGTTTACCTGGAATCTGGAATGCAAGGCAGATAGGAAAATTCAAGAAAGACAGAAAGCTTCTGAAATTTGTCGGGAAGGAGGGGGAAAAAAGTATTGCATTCATAGACACATTTCAGGCAGGAAGCCTATCTGAACAAAGGTAGCCCAAATCCTCTCTCATTTTAGCAGATAATATACTCAAACAATAGGGAGTGAGAGAGACTTACTGCAGCTACTAGAATAGCTATGTGTACACTAAAAATAGAATTAATGAGAGGAGGAATATTGGGACTATTAATGAAGAACATAAATAAGTAAGAAACCCATGGGAAATGAATGCATTAGGTTAACAATAGTTTTACAAAATCTTAACTACGTTTATATCTAAAAACCTCTAGCTGTTATAAAATTTTCATTTGTGTGAGTCTGGGCCAAAATTCTATAAAACATTTACCACAAGGCAAGTGGACGCAGTGAAGTGACGATCTTTGTTTGTTGAGGATTATTCCTTAGCACCAGGAGAACACCTGACACAACTAAGATTAAATACCACGAGTATTTTCCATTTAGTTCCTTGGTTTAAGCTATCCCACTTCAAGGAAATTCAGTACCGTTTTATCTAATCAGCTGTACTGTGGAGGCAGTATGTGGGCAGATACTATTTTACAAGAAAAGTAATGCCCACATGCTGACATACACAGGGGAACAAGGAGAACAAGAATTCTCTACATTTCCAATTAAAATTATTAGGTTATTACACAATAAATAAATTAGAGCCCTCATGCATATCAAGCCATCTTCTACTTTGAATTTACAAAGTGATTCGAAGTTTTAAACTTTACATGTTTTTGCTGTAGGGCCATAAAGTCAATCACACATGTGCTTCTCATAGTATATGAGGAAACTAGGATTACAACCCATTTCTCCACATTGCTAATGCTTTAAAGCAGCTATCAGGTCATTTTCCCATTTTTCATCTGGAAAGACACCAAAAAGAGAACAGAGTGGAAGAGTGATTTTACACTAGGCCAAAAATGCCTCAATTTTACAGTCTATGGTCATGTCCTATTGGGATAGCTTCGGCAAAAACGTGTTGTGCGCTGGAAGTCTGAATTTATATTCACAGAGGAGTGCAATGATGATATGGAAGGCATTATTATAAGTGCACTGTATCAACAGAATTGGGATAAGTCTATAAATGTGAATTTCCATTAGGATGCTAATGACTTCAGAAACCAAAGGTAATATTTGAGCTTCAACTGACAAGGCTTACTTGGTAGAAGGGGATTTGGTTTTGCAGCAGCAAATAAGGAAAGAAGCAGGAGTCTGCAGAGAGCACGCTCGCAGAGTGCCACGGGAACCTCTTCTGTAACAAGGTCAGCAGAGGGAGGCAAGTCTGTCCCACTGAAATAACCACGGGTGGGTGGGCTTGTGTCCACAGCAGCGTCAGAATTTAATCGTGTTATTTTGAACTACTTATTATATTGCCTACATGCTGCATTCATATTTACTATGAGTAGAATCGTAATGTAGCAGAGCACAGTGGCAGAGCACAGTGGCAGAGTGTTATTGCATAGAGAGCTTGATATTTAATAGGACAAGAGTTTTCCTCTCTGGAAGGTCTTACATGCTGCTTGTTTTCTTAAGAGAGGTGAACAAGCAGTCAGTACACTCAACTCAAACTCATTATTAAGAAAAGGTACCTTTCACAAGTCTGTTGTAGATGCTCTGCCTAAACGACCTTCTACTTCAACTGGAGTTCTGTGTTTGTGAGTTTTAACTAAGAGCTACAAGACTTCAGTCTTTTCTGAATATATGAAATTGTTATTCTCACAATATTCTCACAATAACAATATTCTCTCTGGCACAGTGCCAGAATCCTCTTTAAAAAAAACCAAAAATAAAAATCAAATCGTGCATTCAAAACTACCGTGAAACCTACAAATGCGTCTCTGCAAGCTTATTTATTACAGACACCAGCAGAGATTGTTACAAATGGTTTAGACTTTGAATATCGTTACCTGTAATAACCAGGCATCACAATATGCACGCCTGCACTTGGCTGACAGATGTTTGGTACTTCCTGATCATCCATTTTGCGCACAGAGTCTGTGAAAGGTCCCGTAGCATTGATAACACATTTGGCTTTGACATCAAATTCCTGCCCTGTGAAAGAAAACAGTATCAATCACATACACCATTTGTTTTCCTGCTCACTGACACTCTCTATTAGTAATTACCTATGAACTTAACCTACTGTAAAGTGTATCGTGCTTCTCTGAACAGAACAGCTGGAATGGTTTTTAAAAATTTGTAACAAAGTTTTCACGTAACACCAGATTTGAAAGAAAATGTTTTACAGTGGAATTCCATCTTATCTGTAAAGGCAGAAGAAGGTAGACTGGGTAGAAGTAGTTCAGCTGAAATCTGCCTCTCAAACAAGAGAGATTTCAGTCTCAACCCATAGACTTGGTAAACGGGATTATTACTGTACAGCACGTAGCATTTCACAATATCATCTTTGCTTGACAGAAGGGTTTGGATGTAAAGCTTAGTCTACCCTGCCAAAACACTAGTATTTGAGTGAAAAATCTGACAGAAGTTAAAGATGATTGACATTAATGGTATGCCACTGCACTCTGGGAAGATGGCTCCATCATCGGTTCATTGATATTTACAAACAGCAGTGTTCCCTGCTCCTCCCTCATTTTGTTATTTCTGCGTTTCTTTAACGACGAGAGCACGCTCCCCTCGAGTGCTGCGCTTTCTGTTCAACTGCGGCGCGGTAAAGCCCGCTGCAGAAAGCCGTCGCTTCCACCCACCGAGCAGGGTGCTGCAGACGGAAGGGCGCGCGGTGCCGCACCGCTCGCCGGCGGGCGCAGGCGGGCAGGAGGCTGCCT